TTAAAACAAATTAGAAACCATCTATTAATAATGTCAATGTGTTTTGCCCTGATGATGATCTTAAAATAGGTCGATAGCTTGACAGTAACAATTTAATTTGTTTCTTCGCCCAGACCGTACCAAGATCCAGATTATTCGTGAGTAAAAAAGTGGTTGATACATCTAACAATATAATCATAAATTTCATTAAGGAAGCTTATAATCACAAAAGTCCTGTTTATCATTTTTTAAATTTTTTGTTTGTTTTCTTTAGAAAAATTATAATGTGCTTTCAATCTTCTGTCAGCTTATATATTATATTACTATAGTGTTGCTCATTCTGTTTTGGTCTTATCATTAATTATCTTGGTTGTAGAGGAAGAGAATTATAATTTATTAACTCCTGTGCACAAAGTTGTATTGCATGGAACTCAGTTTGGAAAATTGATGGAATTAATCCAGGGCCAGGGGCTAGGGCCTGTATAGCATTTTACCCTTCACCTACTCCCTGTTCCATCTTTGATCCAACAGCATATCACATTTAAGCCCCTTCTGAAACATGGGGCTACCTTTCTTCCAAAGGTCTCTATTGTCAAATTTCTCACAATTATCATTAGAGCCATCTCATTTAATTTGATTCTCTCCAGAATTTTGCGAAGACATCCCATAAGGAGATCTGGCTTTATTCCCTTGTAGCTCATTGTTAGATTTTGTTAAAAAAAAAATATATATATATATTCTGTTCCATAATTCAGAGACATTTAGTACTGAGTTTGAGCATATCTTGCTATCTACTTTATAGTAATTAATTCAGCCTGACAATTGATAACTGATCTCAAGGGCATATTTCTCCTGGTACTTAAGACTAGGTTCATAAAAATCACAACCAACATTATAGACTATTAATGACTCATTTGTTCTGTAATAATAAGGTGAACGTAAGAAAATAATGTATTATGTTTGTTCTGATTGTTATAAAATATTGTAGTTATTGAGGAAGGGTCCCTGATAAAATCAAAACGTCTAAGAAAAAAGTGAACGTAAAAAGTTTCATGGAGTTATCCATGAAACTTCCTAAAAGCAAATTATTGTTTTCAAAATGATATAACACTGCACTAAATACTAGACCTTTATCATATCTTGAAGTATTTTGTATATTTATTATTCTAGTTTTTTTGTAATATTTTGGTCTGTTTTACATGTATCTTTCAGTACACTTTTGAATGGCTGTTTTTTTTATAACATGATTTTCAACTTTGTTTCATTTCTTGTCAGATTCTTAATAGGGTTTGAATCAGGAGATTGAGGTGGTGGTTTTAATAGCCTAGGCAGGAGCATTAGCAATTCCACAACTATCCAGGTTCCCTTATCTTCTAAATTTAAATTATTTAACACTGTTTGCTGTTCTATTCTAACACACAGATATCATGATTGGGGCTTTCTATTTTATGGTCAATTAAAAAATTCTCTGTTTCTTTATAAAAAGTTGTTTGCTTTGTCTTCTTATACCCCTTACTATATGGTTTATTTAGAGACTGCATTGATCCCTTTCATACACACCCTGAAGCTAGACTTTAATTATATAACCATCGCTATACCAAAATTACAGTACATGAGATAGTAAAGAAAAATACATTTTAGTATGAACAATGGAATTCCATGTCAGAGAAATACCAGCCCTCTTTTTGATTCTCTCTAGACAATTAGAGGGGGGGGGCTAATTCAAGATTATTCTGTTTAGCATAACGTCCAACTATAGAGAAAGTGCAGTCAACTGAGAGGTTTCTTTTATACAAAAGGCTCGACAGAACTTCTGCATCTTCAGTTTGGAGGGTGCAAAACTAAAGGGAGATTTGAAATGAAGAGATCTTTGCTGGCTTTTCAAACTTTCCAATGAACTTTTGTTTTTAAACTCTACGAGAGATATAGAACTAAGCTCTTAAAATGTTGAGGATTTTTTAGCGAAATGTACCATTTTGTTGAGAAGGCAAAGCAACAAAGATGAGAGGTTTAACTTCAGGTCTGATGAGTGGTGCTGGCAGCAGAAAAAGGCGTAGCCAGAAAAAAATTGGTTGGAGTAGTACAATAAATCACCTAGCTTTTCCAAGGGTTTTGGCCTCCTAGATCTTGATTTACTTTGAATGGAACCGGTTTCTTCGTAGTTTTAATAATTGTTTAAATTGTTGAAAAATGCCTATTAAATATTTTACCAATTATTGCAAAGATATTCCATCTGCCTGGTGATGAAGTGTTAATTTTCTAACTTTAACGGAAACTTCCATCTTGTTGAATTACATATGTCCTTAAAATACCTTCCACTTGCCATTTTACAGCAGAAATGATTTGGTATCAAGTGTATAGACGAACAAGCTTGATCTTGCATGTTTTAAAGAGAGAAAAATATGTTTGCAGTTGTTTTGCAAGATTGAACTCTAATACGTTATATAGGAACCAATATTTAATATGGTTAAGATATGGCCATGTTATGAAATCATTTAATTTAATAATAAAATAAAATTAAGCATAAGCAACTAAGCATAAAAACTAAGATATTACACAATTTTATTTAGCTCAAATCATTGTGTATGTGGACTTTTTTTGCTTAGATGTGGTTGAATTTATTGATAATATTCATACAAATAGCATGCAAATAGAAGATCATTTCAACATATAGTATTCAAAATAGGTAGAAAAAATTTGACCTGTTGTTAAAACAAGTAGACCAGAGAAATAATACAAAATTTTCTTTCGCCTAATTAAATACACAAATGCATAAATACACTTACCTTTTAGTCTCAAATCGCTATTATCAGTCGCAGTTTATTCTTCAATTTAACCGGACACGTTTGAATTCTGTGAACATTTAAAGCCTCGCCCATTAACTGACCGTCTGAGAATATTCTTTATCTCAAGAACAAAGAGATCCACACCTTGTTCAAATATGTTTGTTCAGGCTACCTATTTAAAATAGTTTGTTTTCCTTTTTTTATGTTTTAAAGGAATATTTATCTTTCTAAGGATCAAATTTATACCATTAAAACCAACCATTTATACAAGTGGGTGTAGTATAAAACATGATTTTACAAATAATTACCCTCAGTTTTATTTAGGCTGGTTAAGCTTGGCAAATTTAATTATTTTATATTGTTATCACTAAAATAGTGAATTTTGTAATGAAAATGAGAAAAAACCTCCTTTCCCTTATCTAAAACATACTTTGTTCTAATTAAGGAGTAATAAACTGTCAAGATAAATTTAACCTTGTATTTTACAAATACTTCGTAAATTCAGGCGAACTTCCCCACTGAAGATGGCCCTATGCCAAAATGCATTTGATTAACTCAATAAACCCACAAATGGAGGGAGGGAGAAAGTGACCCTTTGTCAGTTCAGCATTAGTTCACTGACTCACAGACCAAACCCCATCATCAGTTCTAGACTAGTTTTGAGTTAATATAGTAGTACAAACTCAAAGCCTTGCCACACTCTTTGGATTTATTTTCACTGATGGATCAAAAAACACAAATGGAGTTGCAACAGCTATTGTTTGCAGTGCATATACATACAGGTTCCAACTGTCTCCACTATGTGTGGTGATTAGTGTCTGTTAGTCAGTGATTATTCAGAGATCGTAAGATGCGATCTGGTATAACATAGGTTTTAGAAAAACATTTTCTTTATCATGCCAATGTTTTAATAAATGAGATCATCTTCAGGGCTCAAAGTGTTTGTTTTCCGTGTAGATGTGTCATTCTTGTCTGTCGTATTGAGAGTGCCATGGGCAAGAAGAGAAACCAATTGGAATGCTGTCATGTTTGTTGATGTTACATTTCTGTCTGTACAGTGATAACAGGTGCTGATGTGTCTACTAAGAACAGGGGGTGTGTACAATGCCCCAGATCATGCACTCTTCAGTGCAGTTTGGAGGAGGTAGTGTAATGGTCTGGGCTGGGAATTGCACTGGGGGACGAACTGGACTCCGTATTCACAGTTGAGGGCGACCTCACCACAGTCCATTATGTCCAAGAAATTATTGAGGAATATATCCCTCACTGGCAGGAATTTTCAATTTCTGGATGACAATGCCATACCTCATAGAGGCAGAGTTGTTCATCAATGTTTATAAAACATGGGGATTTCTCATCTGCTCCTTCCCACATTGGGATGTATTGCAGAGAAGACTTTTCAATTACCATCGGCAACCAATTGACCTGCAACAACTGAGTGCAGCATCGCAACATCTATGTTGTGAAATTCCTTATAAAATTAGTGACAACCTTATTAACAGTATAACTAACAGGTACAAAGAGGTTTTAGCTAACAGAGGTTTTCTACATGGTATTGTTTTAAAAAAATGAAATTAAAACCTTTTATTTTGTTATTTTTCAACATCCCTTAATTAAATTTTCCTACAATAAAAAATAATTTATAATAAAAATAAAATCAAAATGCTAGGGAAAGTAAATACTATAAAATTGGCAATATTCCTATTCATTTTTGATCAGTTTATCCACTATAGTCAAGTAATAATAATAGTTTGTTAGTTAAAACTTGGAAAGGCATCAAGGCAAGATGATGGATGATTTTAGCCTTAAAAATCTACATAGGCCACATCTAATTTCAACTTAATAATGAATATATATGTGTACTGCTTAAAGTTTTAATTTTTGTTATATTAAGATTTTTAGAGGATAAAATTACGCTTAAAATATCATTTTGGAACATTCCAGGAAGATAGTCATTTTCTCAGACAGTCAGGCGGCACGGCAAGTTTTATCCTCATGCGAGGCAAAGTCAAAAAGCATATGGAGAGTGGAGACTATGGAGTTGTTGGAATGAAAATCGTCTTTTGCCACCACTGCCTGTTCAATTTTGACCGGGAACCAACATTTTCTTCAATTCAGCAAAATTGTTTTAAATATTTGTTTACAAAAATCGTCTTAAATTATAAACATCAGTTTATTTCCTTGTTGTGTATAAAGTTTTTAATAAGGAATAGAAAAAGAATAATTTTCCCGCCTGTTTTGATAACGGTTACGGTTTAGTTTTAGTCATCAGTTATCAACGGACGTTCATCCGATCTGTACTTTTTTTGTCAAACAAGTTTCCTTTTTAATTTTTAGATTTGTATTTTCCATCTTCCAACGTTTATCGAACGAGAATGACGATGAATCAACTTGTGAACAGGATCAACGGTTATTTCAATGAGCCGATGTTTACCGTCGCCGAACTTCAAAAGCCGTACCCATCACTCGTTGGGACTTTTTTCCTTAAGCTGATGGGAAACTTCGAAGTTGACACTGATAACATCAGAACGGTAATTAAAGCATAAAAAGATTTTGTAATACATCGTTGATTAAACTCTGATGTAAATATATAACCAAAGGTGGCATTTGACAACAGATCATCCTAGCCATAGATTATTTTAAAGTTTTCTTGGTCATTTGAACGACATCAGTGTCATTGAATAGGCTTTAATGCCAGTCGGTAGTGTTGATTTATCATGTCAACCGTTGGACTTGATTCTCACCTGATCAGACAGTATTTCTAAACTGTGCCAACTTGTGTATCTTAACAGATGAACTTTCATTTGAGCAAAAGGAATGGTATTGATTAATCTTTAATGATAATCAAGCTATATTATTAATAGGATTGTAGCGTTGATGTGTCATTGTTGAGAACTGTTGAACCATCCTTGATGATTCTCTTCAGATCAGACATGTCTCTTCATTGTGCCATCTTTAGTTGTATATTGACAGATGAACTAGTTCATTTGAGCAAAATAAATGATATTGATTAATTATTAATCCATTTATGTTTAGTGGCCTAATTGATCATGTTAAATATTTTAGTTAATTATTCTTTTTATGTAAGGTCTTGGCTGAGACTGCTGCTCTAACCACTTGAGCTATTGTGACAATTGGTTTGAGCCGCGGCGGATTGGGCCGAAGGTCGTGGGTTGAAATCCCGCTTGTGACACTAAGTTTTTCATCTCAACCAAGACCTTACATAAAAAGAATACTTAATTAAAATATTGATTAATCTTTAATGACAATTAAGTTATATTATTAATGAGATTGTAGTGTTTATTTGTCATTGTTGACAACCGTTGGACCATCCTTGATGATTCTCCCCTGATCAGACATGTTTCTTCACTGTGCTGCCTTTAATTGTATCTCAACAGGTGAACTGGGGTTCATTTGAGCGAAATTAATGATATTGAATCAACCTTGATGACAATCAAGTTATATTATAGAATTTGGTGTTATTTTGTCATTATTGACAAAAAATTTCTTCTCCTTGATGATTCTTGCCATGATTCTCACCACGTTTCCTCATAAGTATTAACTTGAAAGATCAATTGTCTTTTTTAGTGTCATTAATGATATTGAATAGTTCAAATGGATAGTTTTACTCAAAACTTTTCCTTCCCCCACACAAGAAGTAGCATGTACACTGGATGTTTTCTTATTGTTTAAGGATGCAATACCATGCAGCTTTTGGTAATTTAAAAAAAATATATATTAACTTATTTTTTTGTTAGGTTTTTGAATTAGGCCAATTCATAAAGTACAGTTTAAAAAAAATCTTTTTTACCTTCGTTTGCTTACATTTGTGCCATATTCATGCGTGCATTTGGCAGAAACACTGCAAAGAATATATAAACCTGTACCTTTAACAAATTTTCTTTTTCAGTTTCAAATGCAAGAATGCAACCCAGAAGATTTGGAAATATTGTCCGAACTCAACTTAGTTGCTGCTATACGCTATATATTCCAGTTTTTAAATTTTGGCCTTCTCGATTTATTGAACCCTGGTATTAATTTTTGTTTTACATTCTTACTGTGAATTCAGTTATTCTCGGAGATTTTTACTTTATATAATAAAAATGTTAAGGTCAAAAGCGAACGGTCGACCTCATACTTCATTCCCTCGAATTCTACAACTTCTGTGATGAGCGCGTCATGAAACTGGAAGACTGTGTTATTGAGTACAGACAGGCGCAGGCAAGCATAATCGAAGCAATGAAGCGCAAAGATTTGATATCGCAAAAGCTGAATGAAGTCGCTATTGAAAAAGATAGCATACAACTAAAGATGAATTCGGTAAGTTTGAACCAGCCGGCTCCATTGGACTCCTCTCTCACTTGAGACTGTTCCAGTTGCGCCATGTTGCCAAAGATAAATCAAACACAGTCACCGAACTGGAGAGAGAGGTCAAGACAATACGTTCGGAAGCAGATAAACTGAATGTAATAGAGGAGAAATTAGATTCTAACATTGCAACACTTGAAGCCCAACTATTTGAGGTATATTTTGATAATTTAAAAAAAAATTATATCTTAAAAAAACAACTTATTTTAGTGTTAATAATTAAATTCAATACAAAATAACTTTTTTTTTTGTGGGTAATTCAATTTTCCATTGGAAAAATGTATGTTATTCAAAATATTCATAGTCTCTACACAATATAAATAAGTAATTTGGTTATAAATTATTAAAAAGCACTTCTACACTAAAACAAGAGTTGAATGTACAAAAGTTACTTAAACTTAACTTTCAGCCGAATTAATAAAATTCAGCCAATTACAAATTTCATTTTTTTTTCCTTTTGTTACCAGTTCCTTGCCGGACCGTGGCAATTCACTCGGTCGCCGAGTACCTGGGACTCAATGGAGATTTTTTTCCCATGGCCGCTTTGTCTCTAAAAGTGAAATAATCTGGCGCCACACTGTTTTTATAATTTTTTTCTTCTTTTAGGAAAACAGTGAAACCCTCGGGGTGAAATAAGATAAAAAATTTAAAAAAATAAAAACACAACAAGAAAGTAAAATATCAATGTCCTCTGTATTGTGAATAAATTGTAAAACAAAAAAAGAAATAAAACAAGTTTCTTCAAAATTAAAACAAAACTGTCCAGAAACCAATCTTATAATATAAATTAAAAGCTCGAATCTCGTGTACGTTCTTTTCCTTCTTGTTCCAGAGCGGTTCCCCTTGCACACGCGAACCCCACGACGATGAAAAAAAGTCCCAAAATAATTAAATAAAACACTATCACGTTCCTTTTTTACTTTTTTGTCCACACCGACCAGTCCCAGCTTGAGCCCTCCTTGTTCACGCCGGTGTCCTCGCTGAGCCCTGGCTGGGCCTCCTTCGACTTCCAGTTACCACCCACGCGTCTTTGGTCTCGCTCAACCTTGCCGAGAGCACCCGAGTCTGGTCACCCCAGTGCAAAAAAAGTTTTTTTTCTCTCATTTTGCTTGTAACACTGAACAATGTGTTATTTTTGTAATTTTAGTTGAACACTGAAATCAGCAATTTGAGGAATGATGTTGTTGATAATCCTGAAGTGGATCAAGACAATTTAAAACAGAAGGAAGCTGAAAAAGAAATAGTCCAACAGCAGAAAGAGGCAACTTGGGAAAAGTTGAAGAAAAAATCTGAGGACAAGAAACAGCTGGCTGCCATCACATCGGCTTTCAAATCCCTTTCGCAGCATGCAGATGTCACCACTCTGATCAACAATACAGTGTAAGTATAAAAATAAAGTTTAAATTTCTACCCAAGAAGAAAAAAATAAATAAAGCAAGGTTTTTCTCTTAGGAAAAAGCAGGATCTGTTGAACACCCTCCTAGACCAGTTATCAAAATTACAAGCCAAGGAAGCCAAAGAGAAAGAAATTGAGTCTTTAGACATGAAAATTAGCAGCGAAGAAAAATCTCTAGAAGAAATGAAAACAAGCAGCTACAAAAAGGAGTTGGAACTGTTGAAATTGATTGAAGAGAATAAAAGGTGAAGAAAAACGAAAACCATTCTTATTTAAAAATAATAATGACATTTTTTAGGATATACAATGAAGAGCTGGCCAAAGAGAATAAAAACACGAAAACTTGGACCGAGACACAAGAAGAGTTTGAAAAGCTCAGCGAGGAAGAACAGCAACTCCATGAGAAATTTTCATCCCAATATAATACTTTCATAAAAACCGTCGACACATTGTCATCATCAATTTTAAACTAAATGCTTATGAACTATTCAATTTTTTCTTTAATGTACGTTGTAACTTTTGTAAATATAATTTTTAATTAACAATTAATTTTGTATAAATAAATACATATAAGTAAATTTGTATAATAAATAAATAAAAGAAAGTATTGTTTTAAATATATTTTTAAACAACCTTAGGATTGTACAAAAACACAGATGACCTATAAATGTCTTAATGATGTTTATGCTGCCCAGGTACTGCAGCCTGCTGGCTTATTGTACCTTCCTATTTCCCTAATTAAGTGCAATTGATTCGTACCTTTATAGGGAGCATTAGGTCACTCCTGCAATTTCGTATCCCCCCCCCCTGTATCGTAGATTATGTCTTCATCTAGAAGTTCAAAGGTGGTATGTGTGGGTGGTTGATTTTTTCTCCTCATTGCATAACCTAAATATTGGATCATCAATGAAACCCATTTATCCAGACCCATTTGTTAAAATATTTTTTAAAAAATCATAATTTTCAATGTATGTATATTAATGTTTTTTAAAATTAATAATTCAACTATGGGACCTTTAATTCTTCATTTGAAATTTGTAAAGGGCACCAAATCGCCCTTCAACTCGGAGAGGCCGACAGTCACGTTTTTGTTAAAAAAAAAAATAATAATAAAAGGTGTATTCTATTTTAAAAGACTAGAAATCGCTGTTTCATGTTCGTATGTTGGCTTCCATCGAAAAGGTTTTTTTCTTACTATACATTTTTTTACATTGTGTTTTGTGTCCGGACTTAAACAAAAGTCAATAAAAGACTATCTATTACTTTAAATGTAACTTTATATATGAATAAATTTTTATGACACGATCCTAATAAAATCACAAATTTTCTGATTATTCGAACTTTCGATCATCCGGACAAATCCCAGTCCTTTCAAGTCCGGATAAACAGATTTCTACTGTATTTGTTTTCTTACATGTGTCCTATCAATTTTTTTTTTTTTTTAACAATCTTGTGCAACCCAAACAGCATAACTGATAAATTCACCACCACAGTACCTATTTCACACTTTTCCGGCATATTGTCTCAAGCGTAATATGGGCTGGAATACCCCAATCTCCTGTATAATTATTTTTCATTTTCTCACAGATTCGCACAACAAAAACGCACTTTTTCTACGTAACTGTACTAGCGAAAGTAATTGGGTCAATATAAAACTATAAAAAGTTAATACAATATATATTGATTATTTTTAACAAATTTTATAACACTAGTATCTAATAACTATCACATTTTGTTTATCACTAACATTCGCTTGAAAAAATGAAAAACATTTTTAACAAATTTACTATTTAACAAAATTTACATGTTTATATCTATTTATTGTTGGTTCTGTTTATCTACAGCAGATTGTTCCCTTTGGATGTTTTATGGAAGAAGTAAGATCACAAATCCATTTTACTATCACTTTTTTTTACTATATTTTCCCTTTTGTTTCCTGATTTTTGTTGAAAATAATTATAGGAGTGTTTTTATTTATCAGGCTGTGAGTAGGCCCAAAGACCATTGTATGCGTGTAAAAATCCTATGCTTTCAAAAAACGATTCTCCCGTCATGTTCCCTCTTAGGACGTTCAGGTGGACATCAATGCCGAGATCTCCTAGTTTTTTAGTTATAGCGTTTACGACCATCTTCCCGAGGCCTTTCCTTCTGTGTTCACTTACTGTGTGGACGCTGCCGATTCCACCATAAAACCAGTATAGAGCCCAGGCGACCAGATGGTTGTTTTTATCGAATACACCCAGCCCGAAATTATAATTGATTGTGTTTATTATCAGTTTAAAAGATTCCGAGTGTTTGTGGGGCCAGAGGTTGTTTATTAGTTCGGCATGCTCTTCCTTCAAGTTGCCTAACTGAAATCCTTCTGGAGTGCTGATAAAAAAATAAAATAAAAAATAATAATAAATATAATAATTCTAGATACAAGTTAAAACAAAAATGAACTTATTACATGATTTGAATTTCTTTGGCTAAACTGGAAGGTAGCCAGAAGACCTTATCCAAGGAAGTTCTGAACTTAATTCCATGACTTTTCCACATCTGCTTCGTCAAAGGTTCTATCGCATTCCAAGTGTCTTCTGGCATTCCGGTGAACATTATTTTGTACTTGAACCATTGGATTCGTTTCGTCTCTGTTATTGACTTTGCTAACAAGACCTTTCCTTCTTCCGTCCAAGTATAAAGTGTGCCATCCAGCCTACACTGAACAAATTTACACAATTATAAAACCATTCCAAACTAAATTTGTGGTAAAACTTGCATTAAAAATTATGTAGAAGAAAATCGCCCCATTTTTATAGTTACCGCCTGGGGCAAAAATTTTTATAGGGTAATGATCGATTTTTTCTTTCCACTTAAGTAGTATAGTTATGAAAGAATATACCTGGAAATAAAAGGGATGTATTAATCTATCTTATTATGCAAACAGTTCAAAATTAATTTCAAATGGCATAATTTTTAGAAAAATACAAAACCTACCACAAAAATTTACAACCTGTGCACCGTGACCAGTATTGTGTCTATGGTGCGTCTTCATTCTTTTTTTATCTAGAGCTCCTCATTAAGCTTGAGGCTTTTTACCAGACCCCAAAGCTTTTTTAAGAGCTCCCTTGTGTATCCTTCAGGCCTGAGTTTTTCATCTCCCATCTCTGCCTAAGTAGGCCTTTTCCACCATCAGAGGACATGTTCCGTTGTTTCTTCTTCTTGGCAATGTGTGCACAGGCTTGTTTCTGCCACTCTGAGTCTACACATATGCCTACAGAGTCTGCAGTGTCCAGTCAGCAGTCCAATTATTATTCTAGTCCTAGCACATTCTAGATTTAGTAGTTCTGCCATTGGTTTCTGTGATGGTCCTTTGATAAGTTTTTTGCATGCCTCTCTCCTGAGCTACATTCCCATTGAACGGAGGACTTATTTGTAATCCAGTGTCTAATGGATCTGCATTTTTGGCAGTTTGGTAAGCCACAAAAGGGTTCAGGGCCAATAGGTGTCAAACTTTCCTTGGTCAATTTATCCACCTCTTCATTGCCCCTCTACCCTGTGTGCCCTGGTACCCTGGACAAGGGTAATTTTGTTATTTTCCCCAATGTCTGACAGGGCTACTAATTTGGCATTGATTCTTTGCTTATAGAGAAGTGTAAGAAAATTTTCCCAAGCTGACATCACCTGGCAAAATTATTTAAGATCGATCGCATTATGATAAAAACTAAGTAGGCACCTAGAGAAAAACCACCCATTTGCAAGAACATTATTAAATGAGGGCAGAGTGTTCAAATTCAATTTGAACTTAAATTCTTCGACGAAGAAAATAGAAAGCAAATATCACAAATTAATGTTAAAAAAACAATGAATAAAAATAAAAAAAGGAAAAGCAGTCAGCGAAGCACGTTTGTGTTTTTCTACAATTTTTTAATTTTTACAATGAATTATAAATTTGGGATTTTACGATTTTCAATGGAATACAATTAAACAATATCTAAACTAACAATAACTAAAAAAAAATTGCAAAAGTTTAATCAAATAAATTAAGCAAAAAAATTCTCTCTTTCTTCTGAGATCTCCTACTCTCACAGCAATCTTTATTCATTTTGGTTATTACACCTTTCTCGTATATTACCATATATAATCATCATACATTGTACAGAATACTTTACGTGTATAGATCTTGGAAAATCCTTCTTGAGCGTGGCCAAGAGGTGGTGGATATCGTCTGGGGGAATTTCCTGAAGAGGATCCTCTTCGAACTCCATTTTGCCCTTATTCATCGATTTCCGGAGCCGGCACTTCGCACAGCCGCAAGGCACGTGGCATGCGCCTCCTTTATTCCAATTTCTGCCCTTGGCTGATAAAATAAACAGGATTTTAACCGGTTCGAACGTTTAATTTAAATGGAAATCTCGGTGGATGTGGAAAATCGAGCCATTCCGGCCGACGAGACGGTGCCGGAATATAATCATAATCGGGGAAAAAATTATTTTAAAATCTTGTTTCTGTATAATAATTAATTACAATCATAACGTATTTGAACTAAATCTACCGTATTTCTGCGAAATTTTAAGAATTTGCCGTATTTTTCTACTTGAAATCAATGTTTGACAATTATAGGTAAAGAGGATAATCATCTCGTAAAAACTTTCATGACCAAGGTGGCACCAACAACATGCCAACCAAAAGGGCATTACAGAGATTACCCTAAATGAATTGGTAGAGGTATAAGTATACAATTTATACAGGGTGTTCGGCTATTCGTGTAATAAACTTTGCCAAAGTCCTAGTTAACTATGATCCGAAGCTCAGCAGTTTCGGAGAAATTCCACCTTTTCTGATTTTTAAGATTTCACGACATTGCTTCAAATAAACAATGATAACTCCAAAACTAAAAGGTTTTGGACAAATCCATTGAAAACTACATTAAATTTCCAATAAGATGTGATCAAAACTAAACTTGTAAACGTTCGTGAAATAAGTGTTTTAGTAGCGAGAACTTTGAATTTTTTTTTCAAAGTTGAAAAACTTACTATGTTTGATTCTAAACAACGTAGAGACCAGCAAATTTCAGAAAACCTACTCCATTAAATATCCTTTTACGTGCATCCACTCTAGGTACATAAAAACAGAGTCCCGCGTGGTCGAAATCGCGGGTAAAAGCTAGTTGGAAAATAAAGAAATAGCTCTCTGTTGTTTCGTGGACATAGACAACACCTCGTGTAGAATGGAGAAAGGGACCCTCTGCCTACCAAGTGGATGCAATGCGAGAAGTCGGATTAATAAGTGCTGAACGTATTCATCCGACTAAAAAAATAACACCTACCCATGGATGCCCCCAAGGAGGAGTACTGTCGCCACTTCTATTACTAGTAACCTAACCACAAAGCTTAACAACTTAGGGTACCATACCACAGCTTGCAGATGACCTGGTAACAAGTTATGACGATAAGGCCAGCCCCCACCATGGACCGGAGAGCGTTGTCGGAACAGGACCACTTCGTAGCGAGCGGCCAAAAAGAGAGAATCGCCCTGCCGTTTTTATTTTGGAGATTTTTGCGGTTACCTATCTAATATTCTCGACGGACATCCACCTGTCTACCCCGGAGGAGAGTTACCAGTCCGAGGAAGCGGATTCGACGAAGGCCGGCAAGGAGCTCACCGGGTTCGTTGAGTGTGGTGGCTGGACTACTCCCTTTTTTTCAAGGAGGTGTACGATCAAACAAACATAACAAAAACTATTCGCTCAAGATTTAACGAGGAAAGAAGTTTATTTTGTCTTATCTTTTTTTAATTTAATAATTTGCACGAGAACTCATTTGTTTTGTAAGAAGAGTACCTATTGTAATTATATTATTTTCTCCTTTTATTTTTATTATTATTTTAACTTCTAGTCTCCTTGTGTCATGTCGTAATAAAGTACAAAGAGAAAATTTGATGACACACTATTGAATCAGATTAAAAAACACCCAAACATTATAGAAAATTGATGAGAAAATGGGTTTAAATATAATCTCTAAGAAAACATCTTTACCAGAAGAAGAAAGCCAAACCTAAAAGTACGCATTGCAAAAGGTGAAGCCTTAACTTTACTTAGGAAACTAAGTACCTAGGCATTGACCAAAGCTTCAAATGGAAAAGTCATTTGGCAACATTCTACATAAGGCCAAGGCACTAGCATTGGCGAGAGATTATACAGTGAAAACGGCGTAAAACTCCAGGATGGCGTATTGTTATACAACACAACGGTTAGACCTTTTGTCACCTATGGAACACTGGTATGGTGACCACAAACACTGTACAAGGACATACAAAATAAACTGCAAAAGTCTACAAACTCTGGCTTTCGAGAGTGCCAACAGATGCCTATGATGGAAAGAAATATCCTAAAGGGACACCAATACAAAATTTTAGAGGGTCTGAAAATAAATGAAATGGCAATACTTAACAAATGACAAGAAAACCATTTTGACAGCCCCTTCCAAGTGGTCATAGATAAAACATCCCTAAGACGGAAGGAAATAAAACCCTAAGGAGACGCCAACACAAAATTCTAGTGTCTCAAAATAAATGAGATGATATATAACGGTACCTGCCAAAATTAGAAAACTACTTGGACAGATCCTTCCAAGTGGTCATAGATTACAGCAATCTAGACAATCAAGGTACATTTAGTTCGTCTTTGAGGGAATGTGCTCGTGTTAACATCTCCGATGAAGTAAACAGAGATCCACAAACAACTGCACATGCATTTTCTCGTCAAGGTGGTGCCTGCTAGTCCATTGCTTAGAGGATTTCGTAGAGATTGTATATTCTCATGCCATTTTTTAAGAGACCAAGGTTTAGAGAATGTAGTGTGGTGATCACCTATGGATACCATGTTATCCACTAGTATCACCACCGCTTTAACAATGGTCTCGCCTTCCACGATGCAGCTAAGCTGGCAGCAGCTCTGTATGTAAGTAGGGGCTCAACCTGGTAATTTCAGGCTCGTTTACGAGTATCAACTCTTACTAATGGAATAAGCTATAGCAACAAAGGTATTCGCAGCATCGTCCTGTGCCTGCTGCGCGAATCCCTTCTCTCCCATCGACCATCGGCTCATCTACATCAGTCGACGTATTTCGAGCATCGGCTTAATTCATAAAACCTGCCCCTCTCAGACACCATCAACAACGTGTACATTTCTGTAGTTTTTAGTAGCTGTTTCAAAATGAAGGTGAAGATTGTGTATTTATTCGGCGTATTTTGTGAACGGATGAGTCCATCCATTGACTCATTTTGACGGGAAATTCACATTAAATTAAGGAAAAACACAAAGCCAGAAATATTACTCTTATTCTTGAGAATAAATCAGCCACAAGAAACTTTCATTCGTAAATCACCCTCTATTATAATAATATTCATATAGTTGTGTGTAATAATTACAAAGGTGTAGGTAAGTTAATTAAGTATATAAAGAAATTTTTGCCGTACAAACCAAATTATTCTTGTTTTCTTCTTATTAAATAAATTTAAGCTTGCCAAGAACCTGTTGTTTTTTTCATAAGCTTCACTGGGTTGAATATCAAAAAATAATGGACCGGCCGTATTAAACAGAAAAGTTTTTAGCTTCAATGGCGTCCGGCCGGAAAGGCGGGAAAAGCGGACTGATAAGAGATAATGGTCAGAACTAGCTCGGAGGTAACGGCCGGTTTTGATTTTCTTCTGTCAAAATTGTCCGATTGTTCAATTTTTTGGACTTTCCTCCTTTGTTTGTTTCTCTTTCTCTCCAATCCTATCATGAAACATGGGAGATGGGCTACGGCTAACTGTGAAAAAACTCGGTGAATATTAACATTTTTATATTCTTTTTGTATAATTGCTTATTCACTTGAACGAATAATTTGAAACGTTTTGATGTTTTCTATATTTTCAGTGGTTCTAAGTTCAAAATTTGCATTTTATATGGTTGTGTTTGAGTTGGTTTTGATGTTAAACGATTCGAGGGTTAGATTGTATGCTGTTGGGCAAATATAACGCATCACTCGATTTATATAGTTTATAATTAAATCCATTATCTTTCTGCATAAGTTACAGGTAATTAGGATCTATGAAAGTCAACGTAAATTGTAAACTGCTTTGTTTACTTTTGTACTGATTAATGCCATTTGCGTAAAAAGTAGCATTGTGCCCTTTCATTCAGCTACGCTGCATTCGCTTTCCGTTAATTTTTTCCTTCATTGTTTTAATTTTATATTATTCTTAATCTTAAACCTTTTTTAATGGCTCCTGTCAGGCATTTGAGTGTGACACTGTCAGGGTCATAATGTATTAGAGGAAGGATACAGCCAGCACGAAATTGCCAGAAGGCTGAGTGTAAATCACTCTACAATAGGAAGAGTTCTTCGGCACTAAAGAAAAACAGGGCTTCAAACTAAAATGATCAAAAATGAATAGGGATATTTGTAATTTATTCTTATTCATTGATTTTAATTAAATTAACCGATATATTCTTATTAGTTGGGTAAAACAAAATAGAAAATACAAACCTAAAACAAACAAATGTTATTTCTCATTTTTAATAACGGATTTCTTAAGAATAGTAAACATGAAGATTTAATTTTTTAAGCAAACACCTTTTCTGGTCTTATACCAGTTTTAATCCAGTTGTAATCTCTTTAACCATGAAAAGACGTCATCTTGAACAAGAAGTTTGCAATATTACTGTGAGAATGAGTCATCGAAGTCACCGGTATGTGGATATCGCAGAAGAGTTGACGTTTCTCAGAGTGTGGTTTCTCGGGCTATAGTCCCATTCTGAGAGACTACAAGTGGCAATAGGAGGCTGGTAATGGATCTCAATGCACTACAACGCTAAGAGAGGACAGAAATATTGTCATTGCTGCAAAACGGAACCAATTCCATAGTACCCGCCAGATCCTAAATGAAGTACGAGATGTTTTGGCAAAGCCTTTATCAACACAAACGATTATGAATTGTTGGACATATATCGTATGCCCCTTTGAGACGACCTGCAGCAACAACCCACCACCAGCAACTAAGGAGAATATGGTGCAGCGAGCACCTAGAAGAGAAACCAATTGGAATTCTGTTATGTTTACTGATCAGTTGCGTTTATCTGTATAGTGATATCAGGTGTCAAAGAGTTTACCAAGAACAGGGGATGTGTACAGTGCCCTGAAGATGATCTCAAAAAAGATCGAAACATTGGCAAGATAAAGAAAATGTTTTTCTAAAACTTACGTCACACCAGACTGCATCTCATGATCTCTAAATATGTTTATTTTTCAATTTTTTTCAGTTGAAAGTTAACCACTTAGTTCCATAAGTGAAAAACGATTAATATACGATAAATGCAAATATTTTGGAGCTTTTGTTCTTGTAGTTGTCCAGTGATGATTTTTATGTATTGTTAATCACTACTGGTGCAGGAATCGTATGATTAAAACCATTTGTAATATTTTTCTGTTGGTTTTAAAACATATTCCTGTCATCATGTAAATTACAGATTTAGGTGATCCAAAAGTTAATGTTTGATGAAATTATTTGCAAGAATGATGAGATCACCGAATGAAATTTGTCATATTACTTGTAAAATTACAGGTCATGAACTTGAAGAAATAAGGCTTAGGGCATTGGATAATATCCTTACGAAGCTCAACCTACACATAATAGCGGAAGACCAACTTCTGGACGAGCCCGACTTGTTTCCTTTATTGGTGAAGTGGTTTCAATTTTCTTCTGTGCCAAAAAAATCAGTAGTTTTACAACTCATCCTCCGTCTAGTAAAGGTTTGACTGGATTCCTCAGACTTTCTCAGACTTGTTCTAGAGTAAGATGAAAAATTTTCATTTTTAGAGCAAAGATGGCCTTGATCTCCTTCTTAGACAGGATCCCGATTTATTGCAAATCCGAAATGGCATTGATGAAGAGGAGAAACAACTATTCGAAAAGCTTTGCTCGTTGGCGAATATCAGCCCTGGTAATATTAAAAAAACGACTTCTAGGACAAAGAACGGGTTTCATGTTAAGGAAGGGGAAAGGAAAGGGTTGTCAACTTCATGGACAGAATCAGTCGCTTCTAACAAGTTGACAGAAGGAAGCCTGACATCAGAATGCTTTTCAGAAAGGTAAACAACAATATGCAAAATCATCTATTTGGGTATTCTTTTTACATTTTTGTAGGAGTGAGAGTTCAAGGCCCATTTCTCCCCGAGTTGATTTATCTTTCCATTCTTCATTAGCAAGGTTGGTTTTTTCCTAAATAAAATATTTTTTTAAATAATTTAGCTTTAAAGAATTCTAATTTTATTTTTAGTGGTTGTGTTTCATTCCCTACATGGAAACAGGTCTATTGGCCTTCTCCCACGCTTGCGACATCTGATAAAAAAGTGCTCACAACAGTCCTCAATTCATTGCGTGATGGATCACAAAGAGATCAGGCTGCACATTTTTTTTCAACAGTCATCCTTCAGGATTTCCCTCCGCAAGTTTTTCTAAATGACACATCAATTCTTCTTGTTAGATATTCTTGTTTTGTAAAATTATTTTCATGTTTTTAAAATTTGCGTTTCGTTAGGTTTTGCTTGAAATGGTCGAAAAGGACAAGTCAAACGAGAGAGCGCTTACATGCCTAGAAGACTTGACAAAGGCCTTGCTCGTTTATTTTAAATATTATAGTGATTGCTCGGTGATATCTTTAAATTGCTTTATGGTAAGTATTTTTATATTTAAGATCAGATTTAAATATCACAATCTAACAGGGCTGCCACTACGTCTAGGTTGATGACAAACTGGATGAACAAATCGATATTCAAGGTGGTGGAGATTCGAATCTGACTGAATACCATTACACTGAAAATATGAAAAACAAATGTTTTGATTCAGTCAGTACATTGATATTTTTATTTTTCAAAAGGATTGATGAATAAACGAAGACTTTTTATAGCAAGTTGTAGGCCTAGGAGATTTTTGTGCATTAGTTTTGGATAAAATTGGTCCTGTGATACCTAGTATATTTCCCGTGATCGCCCTTAGTATCTCTAATGCCGAGCTGTTCTGGAATGCAATGGATGCAAAGGCTGGACCGCTGAAACACAGTCTTACCTCGACTCTTTCCTCATTAGCGCACAATCTCCTCAGGGCGAAGTAAAAAAAAAAAAAAAATTCAAGTATGAAAACAGATAATTTAGTTTTTAATTTATAGGGGAATTGGTGCCATTAAGAGATTGAACACCCAAATATTAGCGGCAAAACTTCTTAAAGCTGCTGTACCCCAATCTGTCTGTTATGTCGTTGTCCCGAAGGACATGCAAGAAGCTATGTCGGCATCATTGCTTGACCCAATCCTCTATTTATTGCAACCTCGTATCCATCGTTTTTTTCTATCTTACGTGAGGAATTTCAAGGTAAGAAAACATCAGGATTTTATCAGCTTTTATAACAATATTAAAAACGATCCTTTTTTAAAAAGATGGTTCCTACTCACAGTAAGTTGTTTCCAACAATGCGGATTTCGAGCCCTTAGCTCATCATCAGGGTTTCTACAAACACATATCTCGACATGAATTGCAAAAGTGAACCCGCTGATACCCCCGCCAACGCGATGGTTTTTTAATGGCGCTCAATTTGAACGTGCGAAAAGCGGGAATTATAGCACAAATAACTATTATTATAGTAAATACTGTAAGAAATTAATGATTAAAGATAAAAGATAAAAAAATTAGATTAACCTTAATATTATTAAATTATTATAACATAAATAAAATAATAACAATTAAAATAATTGATTTAATTATTTGGACGTTTAATATTATTTATGTACATATTTAAAATGGGAGGTAGATCAAAATCTGTTATATTATTAATGCATTTATCACCATGTTCAATTTCACATTTTTTAATTTCAAATTTCTCAAACCAATCTAGTTCTCTCCCTTTGTTGAAACTATGTGGTACTGTTGTATTTAAATTTGAATTGAAATTATGTTTTGTTTCTTTTAGGTGGTCCTTAAATTCCAAAAATTTGCTTGATTTAAGCAAGTGTCCTTTTACTCTCGTTTTTATTTCTCTCCCGCTTTGACCTATATATTTAATATTACAATCATTACAATTGAGTTGGTAAACCCCGCTTTTTGCCAAGTTGTCTACCTTGTCTTTAGGTTTTGAGAGGATGTTTTTTAGTGACCCCGTACTTATATAAGCTATCTAAAACCTTGTTTAAAAATTTTACTAACTTTTTCCGATAATTCACCAATGTATGGCAAACAACGGAAACCTAATGAATCATTTATGGTGGGGTGGCTGAGTCCTATTGTTGATTCTTTTAAAGTTAATTTTTTTATTCTTTTAACTAGCAACCTATCAATAAATATTTCTAGATACCCGTTGTTTTTTGCTACGGTTTTAATATAGTTTCTAATTCTTTTTTATAGTTAGCCAGTGTTAATGGAAGTTTTAACATATGGTCTATGAGCCAAATGAAACCAGCAGCCTTTTGGGACCATGGGTGGGAACAATCCTCTGGAATCATAGTGTCTGTAGTTGTGGGTTTTCTATATACATCTATTTCTATTAAGTGGTTTATTATGGACAATTTTAGGTCTAAAAAGTTCAAACAACCATCTTTGTTAATTTCCAATGTAAAATTTATATTACGGTGTAGAGAATTAATTAGTTGGAGGAATTCTTTGAGATCCTCTTGTTCCCAACCATATGCATAAAATATCGTGGAATCATAGTGTCTGCAGTTGTGGGTTTTTTTCAGATTGTTACGAAACAGCTTACTGTGAGTAGGAACCATCTTTTTAAAAATGATTGAACTCCACACCCACTCCATCATTCATAATTTCTATATTAAAAATGTGTTTTATTTTAGTATCACGATTCAAAAACATATAACGAATTTATATCAATGGCTCTATCACTAGAAGCAGCAGCAAAATTTTTAAAATGTCACAAAGAGTTGCCATTTATAGAAATGATCGATTGCTTCAAGGATTCCCTTCTGGGACTGGAAATACACAAAGAATATAAAATAATAGAATTGTTTTTTAAAATAATTGACAAGTATGTACTACGAATTACTTTAAACATGTTTTTTAGATGTGATAATACAGTATAAAATTTAGAATTATTAACCAGTGTTAATACTAAAAGCATCCTTGAATTCTGCCACTGCTGACAGTCCTCAAATTTGGTCTTTTACAGAGATGATTTAAGTCAGAGTCATATTGAATCAATACAGGCTTTGACAGCGAAACTTTTAGCGTCCAGCGATGCTAAAGCAAAGGTAATTTCATACAAAATGGTCGTTGATGCTGTTAATAAGAAACTCGGGCCCAAGGCAAATTCTCTCGAGACAAACCACTACTCGTTTCTTCTTTTTGTATTGAATAGAAAAGTCTTCAAGGAGATAGTTTATTACGGTCTGAGCAATGAAGATAGCGATGTATGCATTCCTGATGTACATCATAAAAAAAGAAGAAGAAAAAAAACTATTTGTTAAATATTCCAGGTTCGACAGTGTAGTGAAGTAATTCTTGTTTTGATACTCAAGAGCCAGATACTTGTTCCTGCGTCTTCTTGGAGATGGCTAATTTCTGAAATGTCCACTGTATTTTCCGTCCTCCAAGCATACGCTGATCTAAATTCATCCTTAGGCCGTACCATATTGCAAATGCTTGATCCAGATACTTCTAAGGAAATTATGTTGCCAGTGATGGAGGTTAGTCGATATGTTTTGCCTCATTTTTTTAAAAATATTAACTGACATTATTAAAAATAGGTCTTGACTGGAAATATAAGATTAATGATGTCCAAAAGTAAAGATTGTAAAAATGAAGCAACAGCAAGAGTGATTTATTTATTAAACATCCCATCTAATCTAGATATTAATGAGTCATTTAATCTTGGTGATAATCCCATCTCATCTAGATCTTCAGCTTATGGCGGATACGAGGTAAATTTCAATAATTGTTTCATTTATAACACGCTAATTTCTTTACTTTTTTTTAGGAAGGGAGTTTAATAAAGGTTCTAGAAGTTCTTGCGACGAATCCTTCTGATCCGCAAATATTAAAATCAGCGCTGACACAACTCAGCCTCATTATGGAAGATAAATGTTTGCACATTCCTTTCTTGGATTATAAAGGATTGAATGTCATATTGTCTTTCCTTCATTCTTCAGTGGTAAGTTTTTTAAGTAAAACAATAAAAAAAGTTTTCTAATTTGGCTATTTTGAACAGACCAATATGAGCGAAGGATCTAAATCGATATTCACAAACTCTGTGGTCATATTGAAACATTTGGCCAGGCATAACACCCAACTGAGACATGATTTTTTCCTCAATTATGACATGTATGATTCTATTTTAAAAGGTAAATAAAAAATAATAAAAACTTAAGAGCTTACAAATATAAATTGAATAATTTATTTAAGGCCTTTTCCTTTATAATGATGATTGGCGATTATTACGAGATGTTTCACAACTTCTTACACTTATGGTTTTTGCTGATGTCGTCGTTACGACATCAGACAGTGTCTCATTTCCACAAGCCATAATTCAAAAAATGAAATTACCGTTTGAGGCTACACCCCACTCACAAGTCAGCGATAACTATCAACCATCAAAGATAGGTAAGATTATTATATTTGCCAAAGGTTTTATGATGTTTAATATTTTATTTTTCGCCCTCTTGTTCCAGAGGATCTTTTAAGCAATAAAAACGTCAAGTCGTCACTGGCCCTTTTGTGGCTTGTTGAAAGTTTGGAAGGCGGTATTAAAGAAATTGCCGAGTCGCAGGTTCAGACTTCGGGTTCGCTGCATTTGCCCGTGTCCCAAATCTCGATTGAGGACTTAATTACATGCTACATTCCGCACAACGTAAACAAATTGCTCGTATCTTTGAACTGTTCAAATTCGCATGCAGATGCACAGAGTATTCTGAAACAGTTGAAAAGGTGAGTTGACTACACTAATTACTAGAACACTACTAATATTATATTTTACTTTATACTTTATAATAAATAATACTTTATATTTTGTCTTTTTTTTTTAAATTATAATAAAATAAAACTTATACATGAAAGTTAAAATTAGAGAATTTTACCTTATTGGGCAACAATCATTCATGGGTGATTTATAAATGTGTAGTGAACCAGCCAGTAGTTTGGTAATTTTATATTTTGGTCTGATTTTTCCCACTGGCTTGGGTCGTTTCATCAAGGTAAACCACTGAAGATGGCAATAAGCCAAAACATTTCTGCAGACCAAAACTTGGATTATAGGTAGACCTAAATGATAAATAACAACCAAATTAATGGTTTATTATAATTAATTAAGGTTTTTAGTTGAGATAAAAAAGTCAATGGCACAAGCGGGATTCAAACCCACGATCTTCGGCTAGATACGCCGCTGCTCTACCACTTGAGCTATCGTGACTTAGATCCACTCAGACACTAACTTCCCATCTTAACCGCACCTTTTGAATTTTCCCTCCTTTTTGCCATTTTTCAAATGTGTAATCGGATTAGATTCTCAGTGACAAATGGCGAGGTCACGATAGCTCAAGTGGTAAAGCAGCGGCGTATCTAGCCGAAGATGGTGGGTTCGAATCCCGCTCATGCCATTGACTTTTTTATCTCAACTAAAAACGTTAATTAATTGTAATATATTAATTGGTCAAGCGGACCACGAAATTAGTGAAATTAATAGTTTACTTTATTAAATTTTTACATTAGAGCATTATATTGTTAATTTTAAATAAATTAGTTATGAAATAATTAACAAAACAACACAATTGTTAAAAATCCATCTCTGGGTTTTACAGTGATCAAATCTTTAAATATTAATATAATGTTAATGTTCTGTGTCAATAGAGCTGTCTAAATTTAATCATAGAATTATTTACTGCTAATTTTATACAGAGAAGAGAATTTCTACTGACTTTTAATATAATTTCAATGTATGTACATATATTTTTATTTTATTTTATTTTTTTAAGCAGAAGAATTTACTAGCAAAGGAATTTGTTCTATAATAAATAGGGTACCACAGTGGCAAAGTGGTTTTAGAGGGTTTGACTTGTATTTTCCAAGCTAGCGATTCTGGGTCTGAATTCTGGCATAGCCCATGGAATTGTAATTGTGTAATTAATGTAAAAAAAGTATTGAAAATTGGTATGACCCCTCGTCCACAACACCCAATGATTAGTTGGTCAGTAAGCTCTCCTAAAGATATTAATAATAAGTACAGACTGGATTTTTGTGCACTATCACCTTCAAAGTGTGCAAACAAAATCACAAAACATGCAATAAAAACACTTCAAAAATGTGTAATAAAAACTTCAAAAGCAAACAATAAAAACCTCAAAATAACAATACAAACCTTTTAAAAAAAGCCTCAAAACTTGCAGTAAAAACCTCAAAAACATAGTAAAAACCTCATAATGTGCGATGGAAACCTAAAAAACATATCATGAAAAACCTTTAAAAAAAGTACAATAAAACTTCAAGAAACGTGTAATAAAACCTCCAAAATGTGTAGTTTAAAAGAAGATAAAAACTTCAAAAACGCAATAAAAACCAGAAAACACAAGAAAAATCTTGAAACATGGAATAAAAACATCAAAACGTATAACAAAAGCCTCTAAGGGTGCAATTAAACCTTTAAAATGTGCAATAAAAATATCAAGAAGTGCAATAAAAACCTCAAAAAGTGTAATAAAATAATGTATTAAAAAACTCGAAAAATGCAATAAAAAAACTCAAATCGTGCAATAAAAACCTCCAAACTTGCAAAAAAAGTGTAATGGTGGTAAAAACTTCCATTTATCATAAAAATTTTTTAAAACATAATTTAAGATGTGGTTATTTTAAAATCAATTGATTAAACTCATTTTTTAAACTTAGTACGAATAAATATATAATTAAATTTTATAACTTAATGTAAAAATATACAAGATAATGACATAAAGTAAGTTTTAAACTTTACAAACTATGCATACAAACAACTTAATGTATAATACACTTTTTAATTGTAAAAAATTAATAACAATAAAATGTCTTGTATAAAATACAACTTTTTTTTTCATTGTACGTCGCTAAGTTTTTTCTCTTAGGTTGTACCTTACGTCATCCTGAATGCGCTTGAAAAGAGAAAAGAACCACACTTTTCTTTAAAACAATTTTGCCATCTGCCTTCAGTTCCAGGTGCTGCCCCCGCCTATTTTTATTTTTAGACATTATTATTTTTATTTTTACGTGGCTCTGTTTTGCTCCCAAGATTAAGACCGAGAAATAAAAAACTGAGAAATATGCAAGTGATTGAACAGAGCGGTTACATAAAACAATTAGAGTTAGAGCAAATATCTATTAAACATTAGAACTCATTTCTTAATAATTATTAATTAATAAACAATAGAAAATTGTTCTTTTAACAGCTACATGAAGTTGGCTCAACTCTGTGACTCTTTTCAAGATCTTCACAAATTGCAATGGGAAACAACGTTTTTACGCTACTTGACAACATTACCGGCGAGTGTGCAGGACCAGCTCTTGCTTGTTGAGATACTCCAATTTTTAACATTTAGTGCCAGTACGCATTTTAGCCGTTGGGACTTTGTTCATGTTGTTAATGCTTGTGTTATTATTTTTTAGAATTTATTCCTGAGTTGCTCTCATGGCTATCAGGGATTGTCAAGGACCCAGCGTTCACCCTGAATTCTCTTTTGACACGTATCACCATATCTGACAATACAGCACTTGTGAGTGTATTGCGAATAAATTTACAATTGAATTTGATAACCGATATTTAAATTCACAGGGTAAAGAGCTTTCAATCAGGATCTTGTCACTCGTGGAGACTTGCTTAAAAAACAGCGAACCTGACGGATGGGAATATGTTACAAACACACTGCTACAGTGCTTGTCGCATAGTCACACTCAGAAATTTTACAGTATCGGTAAATACTTTTTTTCTTTTTTAACGAAAGGGAATGTTTGTTAAATTGTTTGTTTTTTGTAGCTGTTATGGATAAATTGTTAAAGTGCCTTTTACAATTAACAGAACTGAAAATATTTTTGAACCCGAAATGCCTATGGCAGCTGTTGAACGCTTTTCACTGTGCCACTCCTTATTCTTGTATGGGCCTGACCATCACAAGACTCACGGTGCTTTGCCTGTGCAACTTGCTTGTGTTGAAACCAAAGGTGACTTGAATTAATGTTTTATAAAAACTCCAGGTTTTATATTTTGTTATTGCAGGGGAAGAAATTTTGGCTACCTTCTGAAACAAAGTGGTTGCAGTCTATGATAGGAAGCAAGGATCTCATCGTAAAATCAGCCACTCTTGAACTTCTCTCTGGCTTGACACTCGAGTTCTCCCAACAAGTCGTCATGCAATTTCCTGAACTTTGGGAAACATCGTTGAAGTAATATAAAAAAAATTACCTTTTATTCACTGTATAATTTTTTGGGGGTGAAGTATACTTTTAGATCACAACGAAGCAAGCCTTGTTCGCGAACAAGCAGCTAATCTTTGCAGCAATCTGATCGCAACGAGCGAGGACAAAGTGGGTGAAAATATTTTTATTTTAAAATTGCCGATTGTTAATTTATTTCATTTCACAGACGCATGTGCAGTTGTGTATTTCTACAAAGCTTTTCTCCTGTATTTCAATCGTAGCAGCAAGGCTTAATTTTTCTTCGTCTCTAAAGCAGACTGTCATCCGGGATTTTTTATTTACTTCATTTTCATCATCACCTTATGGTAATATATATTTTATCAATTATTTTATTCAAATTGAGATCAAGATGAAAAATTAGTCACAAGCGGGACTCGAACCCACAACATCTAGATTGAGCTATTGTGACTTCCCCTAATATTCAGTATATATTTTTTATAATAAAAACTCATTATTGTTTTGGCAAATTTTATCACTTTTTTCAATATTGTTGATTTGTGGACAGAAATTTTAAATACTAGAGTGAAACTTCTTGCTAAGGGACAATCATCGTTTCAATTAGTTTTGTCCTCTTTTGGGAGGTGTGCCCTATAATTAGACATTTTTGTAATCTCATAATACACAGCAATCAGTATGAGAGGTAGATGTAAATTTTCAATGAGTTTACGATCTTACAAAATTTTCTCTCCTGGTGTTTTGATATGCTTGAATTTGCTAAGACTCCTTATATTTGTCTACCAAAATTTTCATAAGATTCAAACATTTTTTTTTTCTTTCTTTAACACATTAATACACAAGAAGACGGAACATGTGCACCATGGCAACAATTTTGGGTGCTATGGACGCATGGTCCCTCCCATTTATACTTTTTAAACGCTAACTCCACTTCATTCATTACACGATTCCATTCAAAATTCTTAGAGTGGCCTCAGAAAGGGCAAAATAATCACTGGCTACAGTAGTTTCAATTTTAATTTAAATTCATTTTGTTTATAATAGTTTAAACCATAAATGAAGGGCATTACTTGTCTTAACGAATTAACTCCTGTAGAAGCAGGAAGATCATTATTATGTTAGTTCCCATAGTATTACCTTGGGTGGAAGCGTATTAGCAAGCATCAGCTAGAAGAGAAGCAAAAGCGCTACATCGGTGGGCTGGGGTTCGAACAAGGGAACCGATCTGTGCTTCCTTTTCTTTTTTTTATTCTTTTTCCTTCTCTTTTCCATTTCTTTTCCTTTTCTTTGGTTTCGATGTTCAGCACTTCATAACAATACTGTGGTGTCCAACGTAACATCATATTTATAAATAAAGGTTTTTAGTTGAGATAAAAAAGTCAATGGCACGAGTGGGATTCGAACCCACGATCTTCGGCTAGATACGCCGGTTGAAAAATGGCAAAAAGGAGGGAAAATTCAAAAGGTGGGGTTGAGATGGGAAGTTAGTGCCCGAGTGGATCGAGGACATGATAGCTCAAGTGGTAGAGCAGACTTTTTTATCTCAACTAAAAACCTTAATTAATTGTAATATATTAATTGGTCAAGCGGACCACGAAATTAGTGAATTTATAAATAAATTTGCACTCCCTCACCAACCATCACTTGTCTCTCCCTTCAACATGTCCCCCCCCCTTATCCACTGAGCTATTGCCAGTGTATATTGCAGCTGCTGTAAGGAAGGTGTAACAGTGCGTTTCTTCAATTTGAGAGCAATACATTTCAACATTGATTGTTTTGCCATTCAAGAAACTGGAGTAAATCAGCCCGAATGAAGCCCACCAAAGAGTCACCATTTCACTTTTTTAAGAGTTGGGGACTTTGGAAAATGTGGTGCTGCTTCTCCTTTGCCGAGCCATTCATAACATCTGCTGTTATAATAAGGAATCCACTTTTCATGAAAAGAAACAATTCTATCCAGAAAGGTTCATTTCTGTTTAGGCAAAGTAATGTGCAAACTTTATAAAGATGATATTTTTGGTGGTCAAACATCCCAACATTCGAGCTTTTTCACATTTCCAGTTGTCTTAAGGGGGTCAGCGACAGTCGATTTGCTAACTTGTTGCAAGTTCTTTAACAGTTGTTTGGGGATTTTCTTCGACCAAAGCTCACACATCATTATCTAGGGAAGAAATCCTTCCATGGCCTTAGTTGTCTTGAAGGCTAAAGTCACCCTCTCAGAATTTTTTAAACGATCTCTCAACAGTGCCATCGCCCTAAACTTCATTAACGTTTTTGGCTGTTTAGGCACCATTCCGACTGAGTTTAAACTAGTAAAACAAAAAGAAGGTGTGCCCTACATAGAGGTGTCCCTTATCAGAGGTTTCTCTGTAGTTAAATAACTGTTCAATAATGTATGATAAAATATAAGAAGTATTTGTATCTGGCTTTCATTTTTTCAAAACTAATTTTTAAATATAGAATATACTGAAATTTCGAGTGTCACTACTCCCAACCTGTTCATTGCATGCTGCCGGATTACTTTGAGTTTATTGTCGAAAGAAAAGGAAGAAGTCATCTCAGCCATGCATACACAAGGATTGGTCACTGAGCTTTTTAGGTAAATACTTATTCTCCATTCTCAGACGAGTCTCTTGATTTTGGAATTTTTCATAGGCATGTGTCCCAGTGGCAGAGTTGCAAGACACTTTGCAATCAGGACAGGGTTGATATGTACGCTATGGTTCTCCAAGTCCTTACGCATTGCACCCACTTGCCTGCGACCTGCGTTAAAGACTGCGTACCCACACTCGTCTGGCTTTTACAAGATTCTACTTACTGTGAGTATCCTTTTAAGCTTTAAAATTTTTCTGTGAATTGATTGTATTTCTTTTAGGCGAAGAAGTGAATAAAAAAATGATATTGAATGCAAGCCTGAGGCTTTTGGGTTCGATAGCGAGCAATCAGAAAAACATCGATGTTATATTTACGCTTGAGGCGATTGAAAGTTTGTGCTTGACAACCGTCTCGGACGATGGTGTCACTGCAACTGCTGTAGCTCATTTAATCCCATTTTTAACTTCTGGTAGCAAAATTGTTTCATCACAAATTCTTCACCTTTTACAATTTAATTTTTTTCCAGAAGCGAATGTTGAAATAGTAAAAGCATTGAAGGGAAATTGCCCTCTGACTCACAGGTTTCTTATTGCAAGTATTCTTGGCTGTTCCCATTCCGGTACAAAAGCCGCCCTGGAATGCGGACTTTTGGAACCGCTTATTGTTAGGTTGAAAGAAACTCATGTCAGCTTGGCCATAATGCCTCCTGATGTTCCAAGAAGCAAAAAGGTGAATACTATAAAAACAATACATAATTTTTTCTTATTTTACAATTTAAATTTTTAGGCTAACACTGTTCTTCATAATTTGTCAATCGATCTGTGCCTTTTGATCAACTTTATTGCTGGTTCGGCAGAAGCGAAACTGATGTGTGTCAATTTCGGATTAGCAGATATTATTCATAAACTCTGGGCGTGGTGTCTTCTAGACGTTGTACTCATATCCACTCTACTGCAAGTTCTTATCACATATACTGCCAATTCCCCACAAGGTTAATTTTTTTAATTTATGGTTTTTAGTATATACAAGGTATACAGGGTGTCCTTCTTAGATGGCCTGGCTGAATTTCTTTTAAACATGACATTAAATGACTTTATATAATATAAAAAAAAAAATATATATATATATATATTTTTTTTAGACTAGTTTCAAATTTTTACCCTTTTTTTGGAGAAAAATTTTACAGGCCCAGTTCAACTTCAACATTTCATAAGACTACACATCCTGACATATCATTTTAAAGGATTTTTTACGCTGAAAACAATGGCGCAAGCAGATTTTAAATTGGTCAAAAAATGACAAAGTTATGGCAAAAAGTTTGAAAAAAAAAAACCCAGTCATTTGGTTTGCTATTTATTAATCACATTTCATGTTAGAACTGCATGCCTTGCGTAAAGATGCAAAGATTTCCTCTTTTTAACCACTCTTCACCCATGCCCAGAGCAATAGAGACGGATTGACAAGTATTTTCTATCCTTTACCGCAGTTCTGAGTTTCTGGGTTATGATTGGTGAAGACACTGTTTTTGAAATGGTCCCACAGAAAATAGTCAAGTGGAGTTGAATCAGGTGACCGAGGAGGCCAACAGTTCTGGCCATGGAGTCCTATCCACTTATCCTGGAAGTGATGATTCAAATGACTCACCTACAAAGAATTATGTGTAGGGCGTCCAATAAGCTGGAAAATCATTCTTTCTTGTTGCAGACGAACATCATCTAATAGTGTTGGTAAAACCTCCCTAAAAAAATTGAGGAACTGAGCACCATTTAAATTATTTTCATAGGAATAAGGCCCAATAAATTTATTTCCGGAAAGCCCACACCAAACATTGATAGTGTTAACCACCAGATGATGACATGAGTACAAAATTTTGGAATTTTCCTCTGCCTATGTTCGAATTCCAACGGTTGAGTTTCCCATTTAGAGCTGAACTTGGATTTATTAGTCCGTAGGATGTGTGGAAGAATGTTTTCTTGAGCTTCCCTAATCAACATTTGTGCAAGGAACGTTATACGCCTGTCATAATCAGAGTCCCGAAGGTGCTGGACAAGATGAGAGCGATATGGCTTAAAATTGTAAGTCCAGAGTACATCTGTAACTGTATTTTTGAAAAATCTAAAACCCTTCCAACATTACAGAGAGAGGAATTCGGATTTTTGAGAACATACAGTAAAATATTCAGCTCCTCGTCGAAATTACGCTGCTGATTTCTTTTTTGCTATAACTCTGCCATTTTTTACCAATTTAAAATCTGATTGCACCATTGTTTTCAGAGTAAAAAATAATTTAAAATGATGTTTCAGGGTCCAGGTCCCCTGTATAATTTTTCTCCAAAAAAGGTAAACATTTGAAACTAGACTAAAAAAATATTAAACACACACACTTTTTTTAAATAGAGTGCAGCCGGGCCATCTAAAATTCGTATAATCTTCTATAAATAATTATGTATATTATATGGGAGGACATATTCTTATGCAATTTTACAGCTGCCGCCACTCTGGTTTTGACAAGTACGATGGCCGGAGTTGGACAGAGAAAAACACCAACATCTTCTTCTATTTTACATGCCACGATCGGCCTTTTCTCAAGGGACGTTTACAGCATCGAGTTGCGAAAGATGGTCCTGGAGCTTTTGTCCCACGCTTGCCAGGCCTTAGAAGCAAGAATCGTCATGAACAAGGTTTTTTTTTTTTTTTTTTTTTTTTTCAATGGATACCAGGAACTGGAGTAGTTCCCTCCTGAGCACTGCAGCTGTACAGCTTATTGTACTTTATCCCTGGCTCCATTTTTTAAAGGGTTCGCAACACAATTGTGAATTTGAGCCCCCGGTGTGCCAGTGTTCTTACATCGAAGAAACTCTTTTTTGAAGGGGGTTGGGACCACCAAATTCAGGGTTGCTGAGATCTGATCCTGCTCCTTCCGTTGATGAGTGTCATGTCAATTTCTTTCAATTGTGGCCACCGGTCCCCTTAGGTGTGACGGTGGGGATCAAACCCATGACTGCGGGATCTACTAGCCGAGAGTCTGACGCCTTAACCACTAGGCTACCGCAGCGCCCCCCACAAGTTATGCTTAGCAAAATGTTTAAATGGTAAATTATTGCTTGCTGGCCACGTTTTTAAGTGGAATTGCTAACCACCCTTTAGAGGAACTCAGTCTTTGGTAGAGAAAGCTGGTTACAGCACCACAGAACTAACAGGCTCACTCTAAATACGCGTCAGGGGTCTCACCAATAAGCCACTATGTAACACATATCTGGGCTTAGAACTTACGCCCATAGTTTAGCCGATCATGCACCCTCCCCAGCCTTTGCAGACAGGATCTGGGACCCTGATCCGTCTGTTACTGATCGCACACCTGCCATCCACCTGCTGACTTAAAAGTTGACTCACGAATAGAGCTAGTACTTTAGAGTTTGCCATGCTCTCAAGGCTGCTCATTATTTTTTGCCTGGAAACCCTCCTGGTGGGTCAGGAGAGATCTTAAGCTGTTGGACCTGGATTGAGAAAGGGAGTGCTCAAGAACACAAGGCTCACCTATTCAGGTGCGCCCCACACCACAAGCACAATGTATCACCTTTTGCCATCATGATCCCACAAATGGTTGGATACGGTTCCTCTGGGTGGATGAGAGAGGTGAGAATGATCTTTGAAGCGTCGAACGAATCAACCAACTGGCTATACCAGACCACCTCGAGGGATAATTCCGAGATGTGAGCCCACCTTTTCAAGCCGTGCAACACATCTCGGAATAAAATTCTTCTTAGATACCCTTCTCCACATAATATGTTCAGGAGGAGAGGTGGCCATATCCTAATATTCGGGCAGAGGGTGTTCAGCAGGCTTTGCAAGCATTCCCTTTCGGGTTGTGCCCATCCACCCCAGAAATCTTCCTGTCCCTATACGTCTTTACTGAATTAACAGAGCGTGATACCTCTTTTAGTTCGGCCTCCAAAGAGGTCCTTAACAGTGGTTTCCACAAGAAGGCAAGATGTTGAAGGAACAGGAGAGGTTGTAAGTGACACATTACTGTTCCTCATCCCCCTCTGTGCATACATCCTTGGGACATGTAGGCATAGTCTACTAAACTTTTCCTGCTTTTGTCCAAAACCTCACATGCCTTTGAGGTGCACACAGGAGCGGTGGAAGAGCCACAGCCCCACAAGGACATTGTGGTCGCAATTCCATTAGAAGGACAATGAGGTTCTTTAACATGTGCTCCTGGCACATGGCCATATCACACATTTAGATTCTCAAGATAGGAGCAACACACCTCCTCTCACAAGTGGTCAGTGTTAATCCTGTGAGGTTTGTGTATGACAGTGTCTGGGTCGGAACATTGTTAGAGGAAGGATACAGCATGAACAGGATACAGTCACCAGGAGACTGTATAAATACTCTATAGTAGGAAGGGTTCTTTGGTGCTTCAGAGATGCAGGTATTCACACTAGGGCAGGGTCGAATGAATGAATGAAATGAAAAAATGTACTTTATTAGATAAACAAAAGAGAGTAAAAGAAAAAAAATTGTACATAACCAAAAAGCACATAACGGCAATGGTTATCAACCGCCTGCCGGATTCGGACTATACATTTTTAATAAACAAGAAACACATTTCTTCTTAAGGAATAAACAAAAGAAAGAGAAAAAAAAAACTATAAGTAAACTAAAATAACAACATATCTATTTATGCACATATAAATAACCAGGGCGTCTCTGATATATATACAGTAAACATTTAATAATTGAAATAAAAAACAAGCATTTTCCTGTAGTTCCAGGCTTCCATCGCAAACTTTACCAGATTTAAAGACTCGGGGATATTTAATAAAGATATTAGGTGCTCTCTCGTCAACATGGGCAAGCCTATATGCCGTGCTCAGAATTCCGCTAAAACTGGGCATTCTGCTAGAAAATGAAAACAATCTTCTCGAGCCTGCCTGTTGCAGAGAGAGCACCTATCGGAATTATTGACTCTTGTGGGGTTATAATTAAGCACCTAATTTTGAAAAACGAGCGAGCTAGCGGAATGGACGGAATTTTAGAATTTTGCGCTATGTTCAAGAAAGGTTGACTGATATTAAGGTCCTTATACAGCAAAAACCTAGAAGAATTTTGAGCATGAAGGAGACATTTCATTCTGTGAGAAGTGTGGATATAGTTAATTAATTTTGAGTGTAAAAGTGGCCACTCTTTGAAATTGTCCAGGGAAAAATTATCATTCAGTTGAAATTGTTGAGCCAAGTTATTCCAGGAAGAGAACCATGATATTTTGGACCTTAAGATTTCCAGCGCTGTATTCTTAGGAAGGCGGTAGTTAGGAAAGTTTAGAACCCTGCAGACATAGGAAGTATGTAAATGTAATGTAAATTGAAACAAAAGTTCAGCTGAGGTCTCGAGGTAGATCATGTAGTTAGGCGTGAAAGAAGGGAGGTGATAAATTTTACGGATAAAATAGCGTTGTAGGGATTCAATTGTTTCATAGCGCTGGAAACTCCAAGCCTGGGAAGCATAGGACACAATTGAGCTGCAAACAGCCAAAAACAGCTTGTATTTGCTGCACACCGGGACAAGATTATTGGAAGTGAATTTAGCCCAAATTGAATTCAATGCATATTTTGCAATATGAGTTTTTCGCTTGAGATGACCATTGAGTGAAAGTTTAGGGGTGAGAATTAGGCCCAAATATTTATACTCACTGACTGTATCAATGCGAGAGCCCTTAAAATACCAGCGTTCATTAGCCGTAAGCCTGCCTCCCCTACGAAAAACCATAATTTTGGATTTGTTTAGGTTGACCGAAAGATTCCATTTATTACAGTAAGTCTCTATGGCATTCATATTTTTTTGCAGGGTAATCGGTGAGTCTGACAGAATCACAATATCGTCCGTGTACAAAAGAGTCTTTATTTCAATATTTCCGTAGCGTATACCGTATTCAAGACAATCAGGGAGATCGTCGAGGAAAAGAGAGAATAATAAAGGACTCAAGTTACATCCCTTCCTAACCCCTGAGCGCACCTCAAAATATCCCGAGATATCTAGGGCAGGGTCGACCTAGGTCAACAAATGAGAGAGACAATAGATTAATCCGTCATCAGGATCTATGCAACCACAGCAATATAGGAAATGAGATAACAAATCTGACAAGTCCGAAATGTTTCAATTTCCTCTACGACTGGAAGAAGACAGGTCAATGTAACCTGACCTCAGGACTTGACACCCAGCTCGGACCTCTTCTTACCACAGCTTAGAAAATAGCCAGGTGCTTTCCCATGTGAATTGGACATTGGAAAATTAGGGACGAGTTCTCTTTGAAGAGTTGGCCTCAAATCTTCAGATGGGTGATTTCGTATACAGATGCCCAGGAGAAAGTATGCTGTATGGTTCCTCTGGTGGCATTCCATGGTGGGTCATTGATCATCTGGGCTTTACAGTGGTTTCACACCAGACATAATCAGAGAGCACCATTTGCCCCTACATCGGTGAGATATTATTGATAGTAGCAGGATAATGCCAGCCCCATAGAGCACATATTGTGGATGACTACCTGAACAAGGTTAGAATTGAGTGCTTGGTGTGGCCAGCTCAAAGTCCAGAATTGACGAGTATGATGGTGAAACTCAGGTCCTAACACCCTAGAAGTGTGGGAAACGGGTGTTCTTCATGAATTGGAAAGAATTCCTCAGGGTTTTACAAGGAATACAAAAGTGTATTCATGTCGAACATTATTCGTGCTAAAGATGAAAATATTCGTATTAAAGAGGAAAAAAGTTTTCTTTTTAAACATTTTGTTTTTTGTTCTTTACTCAATAATTTTTTTTAGGATTAGATGATATTTTCTTTTTAAATTACTTATTTTTACAACCTAACCTATTTTTGATATGAAAAATATGAATAAACCTAAATACATTAAAATTTAAGGATGATGCATTTATTTTGCCCGTCAGTGTATATTAATCCTCTTTTCAGTCGAATCTGTTAAATGAGTTCCTCAAAATTGGTCAAACGAGGAAGACAAGTCAACTGGAAGATTTGGAAATTTGTTGGTTGCGATTTTTTGTTATCTTCTCTAGTTTTCCAGAAGGGCAGGCTTCACTCATGAAAGTAATAACTGTCTTTAAAAAGTATATATATTAAAACAGTTGGCTGTTAATTCAAATTCTTATTTCAGAACGAAGATATAATGGAACAATTTTTAGAGTTCCTTTCAATCGGTAAACCCGAGTTGAAAACATTATCACTTTCCATATTCCGCAACTTGGTCTTAAACCCGGCTAACAAGCAGCGTTTTATCGTCTCTGGTAAACAAATACGCAATAAATAAAAGCGTACCATTTAAACTAATTTTTCATTAAATTTGAAGACAAATTTTTGAGGACGATTTCCAACTGGGCAGTTGATCCGTCGATAACGGAAAACGAGCTCCAGGACGTTCTGCTGATTGCATGGTTCATCGCGGCCAACAGCCAACGTGGAAAGTTCGCAGTGAGGAATGTCAATCTCGACGGAAGGCTGCAATTGGCCGTCATCACGTACCCGGAACAAACCAAAATTGCTCAACTCGCTAAAAAAGTTTTACCGATAATTAAATCTTCTTAGATTTTCAAATTTTCATTTATATATTTTATTTATGATCGTACAAGTAAATATATGCAATGTTTGTCTTATTGTGTAAATATTGTAAAGTAGTTAAAATGAATTTTGAAAATGTACAGATGTGTGTGATATGTTAAAAATTAAATTTTAAATTCTTATTTTAAAAAAAGTTATTTTATGTAATGTTAAATAATAAACTAAAGTTAATATTTTTCATTATAATTGATTTGTTTTTAAGGTAGAACAGATTTTAGTAGAGAAGAAAAAAAAATTAGGCGAAAAAATAAAAATTTTGTTCTCTAACCCTTCTATGTCAACATCAGGCATTATATACACTTCAGTGAGTAAATGTATAATGAGAAATCATGATCTATGTGTGTTGAATTAATCTGAAAAACTGATCAATTATGACAAAACTAAAAAAAAAAAAAAAAAAAAAAAAAAATGAAAGCACCTATGCATCGATCAAAAAACATAAATTTTAAATTCACTAATTTCGTGGTCTGCTTGACCAATTAATATATTATAATTAATTAAGGTTTTTAGTTGAGATAAAAAAGTCAATGGCACGAGCAGCCCATCCCATAGCTCAAGTGGTAGAGCAGCGGCGTATCTAGCCGAAGATCGTGGGTTCGAATCCCGCTCATGCCATTGACTTTTTTATCTCAACAAAAAACCTTAATTAATTGTACTATATTAATTGGTCAAGCGGACCACGAAATTAGTGAATTTAATGAATTTAAATGAAGTACACTTCACTAAAGCTCTCCGTGGCCATTTCATTTGTCGCCGAGAATCCAATCTGATTACATGACATTTGAAAAATGGCAAAAGGAGGGAAAACTCATAAGGTGGGGTTGAGGTGGGAAGTTAGTGCCCGAGTGGATCGAAGCCACGATAGCTCGAGTGGTAGAGCAGCGGCGTATTTAGCCGAAGATCGTGGGTTCGAATCCTGCTCGTGCCATTGACTTTTTTATCTCAACTAAAAACCTTAATTGTAATAAATATTAAAATTAATGTATAGGAAGATAATGTTACAAGAGGAAAATGAGAAGAAAAAACTTTTCTTTAAACTGGGATGACCAGATTCTGTCTGAGACGAGGGTGCCCTCAGCTAGGTTAAGTGAGGACGGCAAGAGGCCGAAGACATGCAGCCAATCTTTGGGGGCCGGTGGACGTCTAGCTGGGGCTCAGCATTGACATCGGTGAGGAAATGGGTCGGCATGGACGAGTCGAACAAAAGGTGAAAAATAATTTTTTTTTTACGAGGGTTCGCAACACAGAAGTTTTATCAACCCCCGGTGTGCCGGTGTTTTTGAAAAAAAAAGCCTATTTGGAAGTATGTCGGGTTCGAATGCAGGGCCGCTGGATTCGAACCTGGGACCTTTACCTTATAGCGATGAGCGCCTTGTCAACGCCTAAACCGTTGCGACTACCGACACCCCTCAGAATTGTCCACTCCACGACAATAAGAAAAAGTATAAAATAATAATTTTAAAGGACTTTTTTAAAATTATTATTTTGGACTTTACTTTTCTTATTGTCGTGGGTGGAAAATTCTCTTGTGCAAGGGATTACTGCCCTCGAATGAGAAGGAAAAAGATCTGGATGAGGTTCGAACTTTTACTTTCTTTTATGAGATTTTGTTTTCTGACCGTTTTTTTTTTTTTTTTTTTTAATTGTAGAAAACTTGTTTTTTGTTTTCAAGTTTATTCGCAATACAAAGAACATTCATATTTTATATATTTTTTTAATTTAATTTAATTTTATTATTTCACCCCGAGGGTTCACCATTTCCTGAAAAGGAAAGGAAATAAACAGCGTGACACCCAATTATTTTATGTTTGGAGACGAAGCGACCTAGGTACCTGAGCCCCAGGTCTGAGGACATCTTTCATACTTTTCCTTTGGTTTCGACTATAATTAGCCTAGGCTATTTGGACCTTTCATTCTTTTAAACATATTTTCATATTATTCTTTTAATTATCTATTGTGTAAATGTATAAATATTTCATCTTTTTCTTTTTATTCTAAACAAATTTTAATAGGTAAATAATTTATCTACATTACGTTTACTTATAATTTTTTTAATTACAATGTGTTTTAATTAAAAGCTATAACATTGTTTTAATTGTAAATTCAAGTTTACAATACAAGTTAGGTTTTATTTCATTGTAGAAAATAGAGAAACAAAAAGGAGAAAAAAAAGTACTACGCAGGTGCTTAAAATAAGCCAACGCCTTGTCATGATGATTAGAAAATATTGGAAGCAATTTCGAAAATCTACATTTTCACCGATATCAAATAACCAACATTAATGGGGTTTCAACTTGTTATAATTACAAATTTAGTGGGCGTTACATTGGACTGTTCTCATCCCAGAGGGATCTTCTTCATAGGCATTCCTGAAGCCGTAATTCTGTTTCATGGCTTCTTCATCAGGGTTCATGTCTATCATGTGCGCCTCTTCAGCACTGTCAGGTATGACCTGTTCGACACGTCTTGGAAGGCAGCTCTCCAACTTGGGAATGATTTCCGGAGAGAGTCGTTCTGGAAAGACGACATGGAACTGTATAATGAGTCGCCCTTTGTCAAAAGGGCTTTTGTGCTGTGGCATCCCTTCGCCCATTATGCACTTTAATTCTTTATGTTTGATTATCTCACCGGGTATGCATGTAATAAGGAGATTTCTTCCGTCTAATGTCTTGATGACCTTTTGAAAACCACATAAAGCTTCGACGAGATCCAGTTTCATGAGCATGACCAAATCGTTGCCTGATCTTTTGAAAATAGAATGCTCTTTTTCTTCCAATACGATAACGATATCACCAGGTTCAAGACCTGGTTCTTGGTTGCCCTCGCCTGAGAAGACCACCTTCTGGTCATCGTACATCCCTTTTTCGATGGGAAATTCAATAATTTTTTTCATATGTACGACTTTTTTTCCTTTGCAAACAACACAGCAGTCTTGAGGTTTGATTATTTTCCCATCACCTTTGCAATCGGGGCAGACGGACTGAATCTGGTGGATCAATCCTGCGCCGAATTGCTGCACTTGGACATGGACACCAGTGCCGTTGCAGTTGGGGCAGGTCTGCAACGCGCCTTTCTTACCGCCTCTTCCCTCACACTTTTCACAAATGACGTTCTTCTCGACTTGAAACTTTCTCAAGCCTCCGTTGTAAAGTTCTTCGAGCGTAACCGACAATTGATGGACGATATTTTTTCCCCTTCTCTCCCTTCGTCTCCCACCACTGGCAAACGGGTTCCCAAAGAACATGTCAAAGATGTCCATCGGGTTCGAAAAAGTCGATCCACCTCTTCCAACTCCTTCTTTTAAAGCTTGTTCACCTCCCTCATCATAAATTTGCCGCTTCTCAGGGGTAGACAATACTTCATATGCTTGTGAAATCATTTTAAACTTTTCTCCCTCGTTTGGATTTTTGTCAGGGTGATACTTCAAGGCCAGCTTTCTATAGGCCTTTTTAAGCTCGTCTGTCGTGCAGTTTGGCTTCACACCCAAAATATCATAGTACGTAGTCTCTTTCACCATGGTTGATATCACAAAATGCTTTTTAACAAACGCGAAGAATGATCACTTCAAACTCTATTGTTTTTTTTCTTCTTGAGAATCAGGCAGTTTGCAGTTTCCTTGGGTGAAACGGTGTCAATTTTTAAAAGAAAACATTCAAGGATATTCTGCTGTCGATTCTTTTACTACATGGACAATTTTTAAAGGGCATACCTTAAAACAGATGAAATCCTCCATTTCTATTGCATTTTTATTACAAAAACTGATGCACAAACCGGTAGAAAATACAAACCAACTTTTGTATGGTTGTCAAACCATATGTTTCAAAATTTTGTAGACATTACATATGAATTATTTTCCTGGATGAATAATTCAAATAGATACTCAAAAATCTCTCACTATTAACTGAAAAATTCCTGTTTATTCGTTCGTGAAGCAATTTCACAGTAAGAGATACATTGAAAAATATGAGGTATTGGGGAACGGTGAAAAGTATTTGTTTTTAAAAGTTGTTTTTTTGTTGCTTGATGAATCAGTGAAGAGTGAACCCACATTAAAATAATGACACATATGTTTTGTTACTGAAAATTTTAATTTGCAATCTTCATGGATAATGATGATGGGTACAAGGAAGCAGGGGGTGCTCCCAAGGCACTACAGCTTTCTGGCTTACTCTACCATCCCAGTTACCTAGTTCAAATAGCAAGCGAAATGAAAATAACCTCAGGGCCCAGCACCTGGCTCATGGACCTCTTCTTACCACAGCTCAGAAAATGACTAGTAATCAATTCGCACGGGAACATGTTAATCATACATCGGAAGATTGGGGATGAGTTATCTTTACAGTTGAATAGATGATATTAACAGAAAAATTTAGCAAATTATAAGAAATGATCCTCTAATCCTTTTTTTTCCTCAACAGCAGAGGTCATATAAATCCTCAGGGTGCCTGTCCTAGTTGTAAGACCTGAACCTGCACATAAATGAGTTCTGTGGTCTCCTCTTCCTGGCAGTATCTGCACAGTTTTTTTCTGTCTGCACTCCTATCCTGCTAGGAGTCCAACCAGAATCCTGGTTCAGTTGCCTTCAAGTAATTCTTTTGCAAGTTTTGTGGATGGCCCTTCTATGTACCTGAGATGTTGTTCCACCTGGTTTTAGACTCTTTATAGATCCATTTTAAGCTGTATCCTCTTTTGTGGCTGGATGCTAAGCCACAGTAGGAATTTTAACCTTTAGTGTAGGCTAATTTTCATATTCAGTTTATGCTTTCTTAATTTTACTTCTTTTTATTGTTATAACTTTTAGTATCAACCTATGTTTTATATTGTCACTTTTATACATATAGAATAGAATATTTAATTGTATTTTAGCATTATATATATATATATATATGCATATAATGCAGTATAAAATTTTTTTTCTAAATTTTATGTTTGTATCAATTAAAGTTCGATTGAAACTAAAGAAAAACAAATGAAAATTTTATCTACTGGTAGAAGAAATTTTTTGTACCTTTTANTGTTGGCTGTAAAGAGGATTCGTTTAAGGCTATTTTTAAGTTAGTAAGATTGATGTCTTCTATAATTTTTTCATGAATGTCCGGAGAGGAAGGCAACATAGATTTGCTACATGAGGGTGGTTCCGTAGTCTGAAATCCCTCCGAAGAAGTAGGAAATTTTTGTTGAGCTATGTTCCTTATAGCCTCACAAAACGCTGTTTTATTATCCTCTGCACAAAATTTTTCAGCCTCTTGCGTGATAGAATCTAATAAAGTGGTTACTGTACTCTGCCTAATAGCTTCTTGAAATTCATGTTTTGTGCAACTTTTATAATTGTGAGATGCTTTCTTTCTATTTTTACCCATTGCAATTTAGTCAAACTATATACAAAAAAAATGAATGGAAATTTTAAAATATGAATATAATGCAAAATAAAATTTTAACTCCCTAACAACCGATGATAAATGAAAATTTTAGAATATGAATATAATGTAAAGTAAAATTTTTAACTGTTTAAATTTTAACCTAACAAAAAATAATAAATGGAAATTTTAGTGAATGAATATAATACAAGGTAATATTCTAAATGTCTAATTAAAAACTATTTTCTTAATGAAATAATTCTTAAATTTGTAAATAAATAATTAAATTATAAAACATTCAATAATATTACTATTTTATTTGCACGTGTGAAAGTATCGCTTGCTACCAAAATTTATTACGCGTTAGGGTGAATCCCCTTCACACGATGCAAAACTCGTTTCATTGCGAATGTAAAATAAAAATAAGCAAAAATATTTGTGCCACAAACTCAATTTAATTAAACGGAAAAGACAAAGATTGGGACCTGATCCAAATAAATTATAACAAAACCTTAAAAAAAATAAATGTATTCAGATTTGAAAAAAATATGTGATCTTTGACATATGCAACTAACTCCTTGCCATTTACATAAAAAGAGCAGGTGTCTTCAAACAAAATTGAGAGAGTCCTTCCTCGTCCTTTCGTAGCTCAGCTCGCACTGCCCGATCCTGCTGTAGGGGATTAGCTTATCCTTTGAGATAAGCTCCATTTAAAAGTATTGTTATAAAAATTACTAGAGTTACTAGAATACGTCTTTCCCTTCACGTTCACAGTCTAACGGCAAAACCTTCGAATTCCACGTTCCTTAATTTGTGGAGAGATTGGATACAAAGAATATATAATATAATCATCAAATATATAATATAACCAATACAAAAGTTTCGATCATGGAAAACTTCAGAGCGGACGAGTACTTTGATATCCAATCCGATTCAAATAAGATATCTGTCCCCTCGATGCCAAAGCCAAATGTGGCATTAACAGAGTTCTTTACAACATTAGTCTATCCATCGACATCAAGATCCTTTACACCATTAGAACTTCCAACGACATCAAGATCGTATGTTTTATCTGATATAACCAACAGTAATGGCAATGGCAAATATCTCAAAGGAGGGAGACCTATTATAAAAGCCAAAAGGCGAATTTCATATTTGGATAAACAGAATCAAACTGAAGGGGAAAAAGAAGGAGGAAAATAAATCAGTTACCACACGCGAACGCATTCAGTTAAATTCAAGGCATGATGTTTTCAACAGTCCTAAAATTGAGAGAGTCCTTCCTCGTCCTTTCATAGCTCAGCTCGCACTGCCCGATCCTGCTGTAGGGGATTACCTTATCCTTTGAGATAAGCTCCATTTAAAAATATTGTTATACCTCTGAAGGCAACAATCCTTGCCTTAAAACAACTACTATGAAGCAGCTAACTCTACACACTGTTCAACACTCGCGAAACAACTTAACGCACAGTTTAAAAAGCACTTTGTGAAAATTAAAAAATAAATAAAATGTAAAATTGACTCAACACCCTTTGAAAAAGAAAGCAGGACTGTATACAGCATATAGTAAATAAAATGTAGTTTACAACAAAAGTTATTCAACAGATCATACAAAAAAAAAATTGTATTAAATGCAACTGTGACTTACCTGAATTGATGTACAAATTTTGAAAGTAACAGTGTTTCCCTGGTCAGGACTTCAACGATGTCGATATGTGCATCCCACCATAACATCTCACTACACAGGAAGCCGAGGAACCGCACCGTCTCCACGTATTAAACAGGTGTGCCCCTCTGGCAGAGTTGAGGGGGGTATGGGCCCTCCTCAATCTGCAAAAGTGGTCACACTGTTTTTGATGTGGAGAATGTCATTATTATTACTATTGCGACTACGCATCGAGATGACCTTAAGGGAATCGTTGTGAGCAGTATAGTTGGATTTCTACCCGTTTTTTCGCACTAAATTGATCTTTCTTGTATAAAATTTTTCTTCTAAATTTTATGTTTGTATCAATTAAAGTTTGATTGAAACTAAAGAAAAACAAATGAAAATTTTATCTACTGGTACAAGAAAATTTTTGTACCTTTAAACCATTCTAACATTGTTTTGTGGTATGTAAAGCACATAACGTTTTATTTTTGGAACAACGGTTCCATTAACATTCATATATCATTCTTTTCAAGCAGATAGTATGGAACCAAGATTCGTCTGCTGGGGCAATAATAAAATATTAATACTAACATGCTCACTAACCTGACTGCCAGCAGAGAGAGTTGATTTACCATTTGTAAATCCCCCCTGGGAAAAGAAAAAATTAAATTAAAATGAGAGAATATAAGATGAGGTACATATAAAAAAGGATTGTGATATAAATAACATTTACCCTCTGAAGGCAACAATCCTCGTCTTAAAACAGCAACGATGAAGCAGCTAACTCTACACACTGTTCAACAGTCGCGAAACACACACAGTTGAAAAAGCACTCTTTGATAATGTAGGAAAAAGATGTAAATACAGCACAACCCCACCTAGAAACCAAAAACACAAAATACATATAGCCTACAATATATCAAACATTGATTACACAGACAATTTTTTTATCAGTTCAGAGAAAAATTGTATAAAATATAACTATAATTTACAAAAAATGGAGAAATATTTGTTATTGTACAAATACTAAATAGAATCCCCATATAAATAATTTATAAAATATATAATATAATATATAATATAATTTATAAATATATTTTAATAAAAATCTTATGTAATTTTTGTTTTAACCTTCAATGGTAATGGATTTTTTGTGAACCAATAAAATGTAGATTTGTAATAGCTGTGAAGGCTACAAAACATATAATATTGTGCTTTTTATTGTTATACAAAGAGCTTATTTTAAAATAAAATAAAAAATTTGACTTAATATCATCGTATGCTTTATTTGTGTGTTCAAGGATCAGTTCTGTCAATGAGTTTCTGTAATGTGCAGAGTGATTGAAGTAAACAGATTCAATTATAATTTTTTTTTGTTATCAATCTTTGATATAATTTGTTCAATTTCAAATGAGAGATTGATGTATTAGTAGGGGTGCATATTACTATTATTATTTTACTGCACCCTTTAATTGCTATTGTATTCCCATTTCTGTGTTTGAAGCACTTTGGTAGTTCCTAGTTTATCAAGGAACTTTGCTTTTCAAATTTGGTATAATTAACACAAATTGCAGTAGAATAAAGTTAACTATATATGTGTGGTGTATTCTCAACACGATATACAAGAATGACACATCTACAGACAAAACAAACTCTTTGAGCCCTGAAGATGATCTCAATAAAGATCGAAATGTTGGCACAATAAAGAAAATGTTTTTCTAAAACCTACATCACACCATACCGCAACATCCAAATAATTAGTTAACTATATATTTTACGACAACTTCCTTTACTTTCTAACTTATTTTTAAATGGGTATTCAATAGAAGTGTTAATGTTTTTTATATCTTGTAATTCAACAATAAATGATCAGGTATGAGTAGAAAAAAGTGTGAAATATTCTTCGTCAAACCTGGAATTACTGTTGCTTCTTGAATTTCAGATACCCAATGGATGCCCATCATTCAACAACATCATCGATCCATTGGACATTAACATCAATGACACCAAATATCCTCGAGTTAGAATAATCTATCATGTTATAAATTCTGTCCCACTTTTTTTTAAACATGTTTAAAATGTCTAGGGCCCTGATTCTTTTGTCATTTGTCAACATATTTGCATGTTTATAACCCAACAGTTTGTAATTATTTCTTTCCATTTTTTCCTATAGAAAGTTTGATAAAATGATAGGAAAGCTTCATCTTCATCAGTTTTTCCATGCCAGGAATTCTCTGAGTGAAATGTTATATTCACTCATGAGAACCAGCAAATTTTTTTTATCGATCCCTTTAAAAGACAAACTATAGTGGCGTCCAAGATTTTGGCTTAAACTTTTTATGCCAGACATAGCAG